ATATATATATATATTAAAAATACATTGAGTTACAAAGTGCTTTTTTTCTACCAATATTTAGTAAATATAATAGTTAATACTAATAAATTAAAAATATCAGTTTGTTTATATGGTTACATAAATAATACATTAATAAAAAAATATTAGTGGGGGAGGGTTAAGGTTAGGGTAGGGTAGTACGCACATATCCTAAATTCGAATCTTAATACTATCATTATAATTTGATGGATAAAAAATAATACTACATTAATAACATTAATTAAATATTACCTTAATATTTGTGTTTAATTTAATTACTTTAAAATATTTATTTGAAAATAAAAATAAAATAAATATTTTTAAATATACGATTAAACTTAACATGATTCATAAAATTTTATTTAAAATAGTAATTTAAAATCTTAATACATAATAATAAAGAAGGAAAAACATTAAACACCACCACCAAATATGGTCTTCAAAAGAGCTATTCCAAAACCTCTCTTAACATTTGATTATCAAGCGAAAATTCTATGATAATATGCTACTTCAAAAGTTCAAATAATTAATCGAAACTCTTATGAGATGATTATAACTAATACTTTTTCTTCAGGCTAATACTATTGCTTACACATATTTGCTATTATTTAGCAATGAGAACATCTCTACAGGATTAATTGCAGTTTGATATATGTTGTTGTCATTAGGTATCAATTACCTACATTCTTACTATATGAATCTGAAAAGACTTAATATTTTCAGGAAAACTACATTCTTAGGTGGCACAATTATTATTATTATTATTATTTTTGGAAAATACATTAGGAAAAGATGACTTAATTATCTATTCCAGCTAAGTCCACTCTCAAAGTCAAAAAGGCATTATAAAATGGAGTGAAATCGAAAGAAAATAAGCAGAGGAGAAGGAAAAGCAAGAGGGATAGAAGAACAACAAAGGAGAATTCAGAGAAAGAGATAGAACTCTGCTAATTATAAGGTAATGGACTAATGGTGGGTGCAAAAGCCAACAAACTCATGCTACCTTCAACTTCAATGATTCTTATCTTTAATAATAGTTATCATGTAATTTCTTTTACTTTTCTGTTATTTTTATTAATTTATTTGCTTATATTAATTAGCTCCTCTATATTTATGAACTTTATTTCGATCTTATTCCTGTTAGTTTTATCGATGGTTTATATTTATAAAATTTACTCTGTTTAAAGTTTTATTAACTCGTGTTTATAATACTCACATTTATAAGTTTTATTCTACCCCTATTGTTTGTTGCCTTCAAAAGAAGTTCTACCCCAACTGTAGAATTTCTCTTAATTATATTCATTTACTTTTATGATAGTTTATGTTTGTAAGTTTTACTCTGTTTAGTTTCTATTATTTTTATTGCCTCGTCTTTATATTAAAGATTTACTTTTGTAACATTAAGTCTTACCTTTTTCTATATATTCCTTATCGGCTTATATTTATTTTAATTTTGCAACTTTTTCAAGTAATTTTGTTGATTTTACCTTGAGCATGTTTCTATTTGGATTTATTTAATTTATGCCATTTTCCTAGGCATCGTTATGGTGTGAGGAAGAAGGAGGAGAGGGATCTATATATCTATCTATATATATATATATAATCTTAAATCTAATATCTAATTAATTAATTATTTATCTCTATATAGGATTAGGATCTATTAATGCTAAGTGTTAAAATTATATTATTAATAACTTTTTCATGCTGTAACAAAAAATAACTTTTTTTTCTTCTTAAAATGTAAATTAATTTACCTAATAGTTGGATTATGTATATATTTATGATGTGTAAGGATCTATTGAAACTATAGCGTTAGTGTCGATAGATTCTAACCGATTTTATGATTAATTGATTATGTATATTATATTCACACAAATGATAAACAACATGTCACGAATGATAAACAAAATGGCACAAGTCAAATTAGAAATATTCATATTTATAAAAATAGATTACTTAATCAATCTATTTTTTTATTATTAGAAATATGGATCGAATATTTTAAAATTAGACCGATTATGTATGATACAATTATTTATTTTATATTTATGTATGAATTATTTTTAAAAAAAATCAAACTGAATCGTTTTATTTTATAAAAATGTATTAAGTAATTTGGTTGATTTTATTAAATAAATCGATTCAAATTTTGACTTAAAATGAATCGGATAAGTTATGAGACCTGTGAGAGCCCCGACCAGCAAGTGTGTCTGCAACTCTGTTGACACTCCTACATGAATATCAAATAATTTTAAATTGTATAAAATTTTATATATTCAATTTAATTAATAAGAATTTTGTATATCATAAATTAAGTAATACAAATAATAAGTTTTAATGGTGTTACCGTTAAATTATAAAGAATTATTAAATAAGATACATAATTTGTAAAAATTTGTGATTTTTAATAAATTTTAATCAACAATAAAAAAAATTTAAAAGAGAGCATCATGTATATTTTTTTTGACACAAAGACCTATAAATAAGTGATGATACTTTCATAATTATCAGACAAGAAATCAATAACATGTGAGAAATCCTTAGATTAAACACTACTATCTACTTAGTAGTTATTTGAAATTAATGACATTTTTGTAAATATATATATATATATATATATCAATATCAAACCAAACAGTCTCTTATTGTACAAACTTGCGAACTTTGAACTTTGAAACTAAAAAAAATCATACTGCATGTTATTGTACGAGGCTGGCTTTCAGCTGGTGTTTCTATTTTTAAATTTCATTGATGTTATCTGGGCAAACGACAAAGATGTGAGGGTTAGTGGTTAATTTGGTCTTGTTTGCATGAAATTTTAGGCCAATGAAGTGTTCGTTTTATGTTTTAAATGTAGGACATGAATGAAGCTTATTATTCCTTACAATGTTTCAGTACTTCTTTTTCATTCATCCTTTTCAGGATATATATGCTGTGATGCCCCCTCTAGGAATTCATGGATACGCCTTGGCTGTTTCATCTTATTTTATCATCCTCATAGCAGCCTCACAAACAGATCCTTCAGAAGGTGAATTTGTAAAGGCCTACAAAATTTTGAATCTTTCTGTTTCACTTTTTTCCTTTCTGGCGTGTGATTTTATATACTAAACAACATAACTTAGACTAATTTCAGTCCAAGCTGAAAAAGGGGGAGAGGGACTTGTTATTATGATAAATTGATAATGATAATAAGTCTAGGATTGTATGCTACATGTATATTATCAGTTCATCTTCCTTTGTCTGATGTTTCCATGTAATTTGCTTTGGCATATGAAGTTTTTAACGTAAATTAGTTGTCCTATATTTGTAGTAAATGCATTGATAGACATCAAGAAAGGTTTGATTGATCCCATGGACAATCTGAGGAACTGGAATTCAGGTGACCCATGTATGGCAAATTGGACTGGGGTTTGGTGTTTTGATAGGGAGGAGCCTGATGGTTACTTCCATGTCCAAGAGCTGTATGCATTGTTCATCCCATTGTTCTCAATTTCAATTTCTTCTTTTTAGATATTATAAAGTGTTATTTATATAAAACAAAATTATTAGACTTTTGTTTAGATAAATTTCTCCATAAACACTTCTAAGAAAAAAAAAATAAATAAATTTTTCTAAAAACTAAAATTAGTTTTTTATAAGTTAATTTGGAGAAACTCTCATATAAACTTCTCCAAAATATATTTTTTAATTTATGTATGAGTTAATTTTAGTTTATGATATCCAATTTTATTTATTTATCTTATTTTCTTCTTTCGGAATGAAGCTACTTAATGAATATGAATCTCTCGGGATTTTTAGCACCCCAGCTTGGTCAGCTATCTCAGCTTAAGATACTGTGAGTTGTTTAATATCATAAATTGTTGGTCGGAAAGGAAAAATAAGGTATCGGAAAAAAAAAGAAGGTAATATCTTATGGCCATGGCATGCTAATATCTCATTGTTTTATGCTTGAAGGTCTTTCATGTGGAACAATTTGAAAGGCACAATACCGAAGGAAATTGGAAATATTGCATCATTGGAACTCCTGTAAGAACTTTACTAAAGCAGATAAATTATTAGTATAGTTCCTCGTCAAATAAACAGTGTTTTCCTTTGTAACATATAATTATAGTTACTTCACATCTAATTGTTAAGTCTCAAATTTACCTCTTTTTGATGAGACTTATTGAACAAATTCCACTCATCCTTTGAACCATTGCAATATAATTGTTCTCATTTTGGTTTCTTTTGTATATGCAGGTATTCAAGTAGAGAATTGAGGATAACAAGGCCAAAAGGAGTGGAAATCAAAAGAATTAAGGAGCAGAGCAGGCAACCGCGCCGGGCGCCGTATTAATCTCGCCGGGCGGGCATAAAATAGAGTACTCTCAGCCTTTGGAAACCTCGCGCCGGGCGCAATTTAGAATTGCGCCGGGCGCAATTCAAGGCCGCGAGCACATTGAGCATCAGGGGAAGCCCGCGCCGGGCGCTAAGTGTAACGCGCCGGGCGCAATAACCCTAATTTGTCTCCTCAGGCTGCATAAAAGGAAAATTTCGAGGGTTTTCTCCCTCATTCGCCCAGGGGCGCCTCCAGGAGCTCTGCAAGAGGGATTCTCAGGCTTCGGAAGCCTCCCACGGTGGATCATTCCTTCGGTTCTTCCTTTCCTCTTCCATCTCTATTTTAGTTTTCCCCTCTTTGTTTTGAGAGGTTCTATCCATTGTATTGGGGTTTTGATGTAACCAACAAACTCTATTGTAATCCCTTTGTGTTTAATGATATATAT